AAACTTAACAAATTTTAGTTAGCTATTTTCTCGAAGGAAGTGTTTGTGTATATCTAAGAGTGCAGATACTTGTAGATTTTTTTTTTTCCCCTGATTGCTGGTGCAAAGGCTGGTGACAGAGAAAATGATGAATAAAACCTTCCATCCTGAATGTTTTTAAATTGCATCATGATTTGGAAAAGATTCCTTAATTTTTAGATTGATTTTTAGAGTAGATGTTGTCTGTTTTCACCCCTGTAACTTCAGTGCATCTACATTTCTCATGCTGAACCTGCTACTGAAAAAATAATAGTGCCTTTTGTATTACCAGGGCTTTACCAATTCGTAGGGCTCGTTGTCATTACATAGCTTCTGAGGGGATAGTGCTTTTAAAGGTGGTTGAACTAAAACTTGATCCACCAGCATTTGAGTAGTGTAAGACACTTAAGCAATTCCTGTATAAGGACATTGTAATTAGTTCAAGTATTTCTATCTGACCGCCTCATTTTGGAGAGACTTATGAGTTTTAATCTAAATGTATTCTGCAGGTGTAAAAAATTCTAGGCTTCATGATCCAAAACAATCATTTGGTACTTCTCCCTGCAAAACATAGATCATGCATTTATCTTAGTGATACCTCGTGCTGCCTTAACCACTTGTTGCACTGTAGTTTGAAGAATTGCCTTTCTTGCCTAAAAAGGTCCTGTTTTCTGGTGATTTCAGTATTACTCTTCATCCTTGAGCTGGTCAGAGCTTCTCAGTGGGAAACAGCTGCTTTCCACCAGGCAGCTAAAAGTGTTTCAGTGGTGGATGAAGCGCTCCTTTGTAAACAGTTTGTCAGTGCTCTTAAAAATCCATGAACAGAAAAGTTACTTGCAGTGTGATTGTGATGTTTTAAGTTTGATGCCAAAAGTATGATGCGTTCTAGCTTGAACATTTTATTTTTAAAAGGCTACTTTTTTCTCTGCACTTGGTAAAAATCTGTCCCACTGCATCAAACAGCCGAGAAGTGCAAGTAAGCACTTTGTGAAGCTCTGTAAGGCACCAAAGGGATGACTGGTGTGTTCTCAGAGTGTGTAGCACAGGGTCAGGTTGATGCATGTGAGGGACACCTGGGAGCCAGGTTAGTCCCAGCTGCCTGAGAGGCTTGTGTGTGCCCTTCTGTACCCAACAGCACAAAGGTAAAGAATCTGTATGTGCTGCATGTCTGTGGGAACACAAGGGACACATGTAAGTCTATCTGTATAGATATACAAACTGTGAATTGATGAAATAGGAGCCAAAACTCACATAATTACTTTTCAGACCAAAAGAAGAATTAAGGAAGACAGGGTGTAAGTTAAATTTTGGGACTGCCATTGGAGTCACTTGAGAGTTTTGGAAAACAGCTCCTTTGAGAAGTTTCTTTTGGGAACCACTTTTAATATTATTTACTTGGTAATAAAGTGTAAATAGAAAAAGTAGGCAGGAAAACAGTAAGAAAGTTCCAGTTTTAGTGTTATCACTTTAAGCATGCAGGGAAGTAGGCATGTTTGATGAACTTGAGTGACTTGTTCACAAGCTCCCTGAATAAGGCAGCTGCTCTCAGTACACTGTAGTGTTCACCTGAGGTGCCACATGCAGAGTGACACCAGGCAGGTAGTTAACTTCTTACTCACCCTGTTTCAGATGGCACACGCCTTGTAAGCCTCCGTCTCCACATCTCTTCCTCTGCACATGCACGTACATGATGCAACACCTCTGTATCACACTGTGCTTTGTCGTGTGCACGTGTCTGTGCCTCCAGATCTTCAAGTAATGTTGATAAAGTGAACTAAAAAGTAATTCAGAGTTAGAGTGTTACATAACAACCTGTCCTTCAGTTAGGAAGGCTGTGTAGGGTCAGAAACAGGAACAAGAATAAATCGTGGTTCACGTTTCAGTTCCTGCTTTGCTCTGCTCCATTCAGAAGAAGACAGTCACTTCACCTTCTAGAAGACAGGCAGTCACTTCATCCCTTTGCCTGCAAAAGCTCTGTGTTCCCTATGTCTAGCCTGATTAGGACACAGGCTGAAATTCTGGTTTTTTTCTGTGCTAGGTGAGATTGTGGGTCTGAAGTCTGGTCCTTATCTCCTGAAAACAGTCAGAAAAGACAATTTAAGGATTCCTTACCTGCTTTGAGTTATACAGAACTGGGAAAACCTAGCCCTTCCTCTTCTTCTCTTCTCTCTTTTTTTTTCCTATTCTGTTGTCATTCTGACATGATAATTAATACGAAATACTACCTTACTAAGGGACCACTCAAGTGTCTTACTTGATAATGAAACTTAGAACCTGTGACTGCTAAATTCAATAGCAGATTTTTCTTGTCCTGACGAAGTCTGTTTGGGCTTTTTCTGCTTGGATGTACTTTGATGAAGGCACAGCAGAGCTTATTTTCAATATTTTCCTCTGTGAGAGTCCTAGATGAGAAGGCATTTCTGCAGTGTCTAGATTACATGTAATGTTAAAACAGCACGTATTAGGAAAAAAATGGTTTCATGGTATATTCATTGTTTTAAGATGACTGCTACATTTCTGTTAATAAGAGGAGCAATGAAGACTGACCTCTAAGTACTCAAAATTAATAGTAACGGATAAGTAATTTTTTTATGTTTCCATATTTTTAGTTAGTTTTGGGGCTTTTTTAAAAGGGATCCAACCTTACAATGGGAATTACTTTATTAACAGTCTAAAATGAGCTCGTTGTTTGTCTTAAATCCAGACACATTTTTCTTCAAACACTAAAAATTGATAACAGATCATAAATCAGTCACCTCAAACACTTGGATCTTGCCCTGGGAGTATTTTATGTCTGCTTCTGTCTTATTTGTTGTCTTGAAACAATGGTTTAAGGAGAAGAAAACATATAATTGCTCTGTAATTTCTGCACTAAAATGTTTTCTTTTGAAGTAGCTCCACTTAGCCTGTAAAAATACTTCTGGGTCTTAGTCAAGCATTTAGTACAATTTAAAACTGCAATACTAAATTTCATTGGTTGGACTTTTTATTAGATAAGGTAGAAATGAAAGCAGCAGGCAATTTAATTAGCAGTAATTTTTCTGGGCAAGTCATTACTTTGATGAACTTCAGAGCAATGTTTATGGCTCCTAATTAACCATGTTAGTCATTTGATTGAATAATCACTTTGGAAATGTTTCTACAATTTGATTAGAGTCTGACCCACTCTGATAGTCATAAATTAACTGATAGCACTTTAGGATAACAAGACTCTAGTTACTTTACGAGAAATAAACTCTTCCTTGCTGTATTTTTCGGTCTTCTGTGGGCTGTTTAAGCACAAGCTAACCAGAAGATTAAGTAATGTTGGTACAAACAATGCTTGCCTTAAAGAGACTCCAGATGTTAATTATACTTGACTTAGGAGCTTGGGGGATGAAACCCTGAATTGGCTAAAAAGACAACTTCTTGAATGCGTGCATAATTCTTTATTCTGTATACTCTGCTGTATCGCTCTGCAGGAGTGGAGTTCATGAGTCAAAAAGAGCTTTGCTGCCAATACTAGAGAATTTTTACCTAAAATAGAAAATAGCATCTGTTTCAGTTCTACAACTTCCTCTTTTTTACGTAGATTTTTCCATTCTCCTTAAAATGCAGTCTTCTTGGAAACATGAATGATTCCTTGCAGGTGAACCACTGCTTGTAGCCTTGACTTCTAGTCTGTAGAGCTATACTTGACTCGGGTGATCACTGAGTCACTGATTCCTGTGGTTGCTCAGAATAGCTGCCTGAGACACTGGAGATTGTCAAAGCCTGAGGATGCAGGCACTGAGTGTTTCATCGAGAGAGGAGGTAATGAGGAGTTTGGCACAGATGTGCAAGAGAGACCGTGGGCTTTTAGAGGAAACTTTTTATTACTGCCCTGTGTTTCACTTGTTTTGTGAAGTCAGTGTAAAACTTCATTTTCTTATCCTGCCAAATCTTTGATACTCATCCCTAGTCAGTGAACAGTGAAATTTGGAATCACAGTCTGAAAGGGTCTGTAGGCAGTGTTGGAAAAATAATGTCTGCTCTTTCGACCTCTGTTTGCATCTCTTTAACAGTTACAAGTTACTGGTAACAGATTGCATAGCTTAGGGTAGGAGTTTATCACAAGATCAAATAGACTTTGTTAAGCAAAACTTTTGATATCCAAGAAGTGGGTTAAACCTGGTCTAGAAGGGGAGACAGTTTGCAAGTCCCTGTGCACAGGATGTGGCTACCTGGGGACAGTGCAAGACACGGGGAAGAAAATGAGATGTTTACAGAACACCATTTTCATTAGTTCTGTTTGGTTTTTCTCATTCTTCTTGCAGATTTGAGTAGAGGTGGAGAATAGCAAATAAATACCGGTTTTACTTAGAATATGTGCAGTAATCTTTTGGGGCAAGGTGTCATTTTTGTTTGAGGATGTGCAAGTGGAGAGTGACACAGATACATCTAAATTCGTAGATAAAATGCTTAGCAATCACAGAAAATTTCATTAACCCTTTAAATCCTTCACCGGAGTCTAAAAAGCAATATCGTAATCTAAATTCACTTTGACATACCTTGAGTTAATGCAGAGTTTATAAGTCTCCAGTGTGATTGGCAGGCTTTTCAGTATAGTTGATTAAAAATGTTGAGTTGAATTAGTTACAAAGATAGATATACAAGCACAGGGTTTAAAATATTTGTGGTCTGTGGTGTGGATTTTTTGGTCTGCAAATGGTCTAAAATGAAATTGCCATGGGAGTCAGCTTTTTAGCAAAGTTTATTACAAAAGGGTTTGAGCTCAAGAACCTATGTTAGATAGGGTCTAGGATCCTCATATCGTGATTTTCTCTTTCACCATGCCTTGTGTGTACTCTTCTGAAATGCTGACTGTTTGTTGACAAGTTCCTTCTCGCTGTAACTTGCATCCTTTTTTGTTGCCATTCTGCCTGCAGCCTGTCTTATTGATAACCTGCACACTTTTAATTCCAGACAGTCTTTTGACTTGCATTGTCGTGTTCTCCTTTCAGAAGTGCCTAGCTGCCACTCCATTTACATGAGGCAAGAAGGCTTCCTGGCTCACCCAAACAGAACAGAAGTTAAGTTTTCTATTATGTATCACTTTTGTATGAGAGAAATGTAAAAAATTAAAAAGCCTGGGGATTTGGGGTTCACTGGTTTAATTCTGCTTCTGGGAAGACTCACGTCATCTTTCGTTCCCTTTCCAGTCTTGAGTTTCTGATGCACTGATTTTTTAGTAGCTTCTTTTAGTGCCATGGGTTGATCAGGATAGAAGCAATTATATTATAAACTTACACTGCTTTTAAAGGCCTTTAGCAGTTGAAAGGAAGAGATGCTTAAAACCTTCCGTTTCAGCCATTCTGCTCAAGTGATATTTTCCAGGCTATTGGTGTGACAGGCTCAGTTTAACTGTCTTAAGTAATCCATTTTATACTTTAAATTCAGTGGAAGTTTTTTGCTTTTTCTTTTGTTATTATTTTTGCAATATTTTGTTGCATTTTAGGCTCAAAATTGAGATTAGTACCAAACCTCCCAGTGATTTCAGTAGTGCAGAGCTTAGGTAATTGTCAAAATTAATAATTCTGTGTACAAGCACTTTATATGTATTAAAAATAAGAAGGCCAACAGAAGTAAGACCACTGAAAGAGAAGTTATACCCTCCACTCCTCTGTTTTTGTGTATCTGTCTTGTCAATATATTATTTTTTGCTTGTTTGTTTAGGGTTTATTTGTTTTTCTTCCAAGAGTCAAATTTCACAAACTTGAGGAATTTTGTTTTGAGATTGATGAGAATCCAGATAGATGTGTAACTCACAGCCTTCTAGTAAGACTTCATTCACTAGTGAAAAGACATAACTGGAAAGATAACACATCTGGCTAAAAGCCCAACTGCTTCTGGGGTGGAATAAAGGCAGAAAAAAAAAGAAATAGAAGGTATTGTCAAATGAGAAAGGTGAAACAGGAGATGGAAATTTCTAACAGTCTTGGTATTTGAAATTATATGAAGTATAGAAGCTTGATAAGGGAGTTGAAAGACAGGGAAAAATCCACACACTGCAGGGCTAATGCCAACAGGTTTTGGGCTTTAATCATTGCACAGATAGGGGAAAACCAATCTTAGCCATGTTATGCACTCATAGGAGGTTGACGGTGGCAAAATTGTAATGAATGACATAGAAAATCAGTGATGTTTGCTAAATATTTGTTTTCTGTATTTGAAAATCAGTCAACATGATTTTATGGAATAAAGGTCATGTCAAATCTGATTCTATTCTTTGCTGAGATTAAAAGTTTGATTGATAAAGATACTTGTATCATATAGTTAGACTTTCTATGGCATTCAGTTTACCTCTGCATTACATTCTGATTAAGAAGTTAGCACAAAGCACTATCAATAAAGTACACATTAAATACATTAAGACCTGGCCAACTGACAGATCTAGAAGTGGCTGTCACTGAGCAATCATCTCTGAATGGATTGTTTCTGTTATAGTTCTATAAGAGTTGATATCAGGAGTGTTGCTATTCAACATTTTCAGTAAAGATACGGAACAAAGTTAATAGATAACTTTATGGCACAAAGATAGAGTGGTAAATAACAGGCAGGACAGGGCAGTCACACAAAGCATTTTGAATTGTTTGGTAATCTGGGCACATTAAACAAAATGGTTTTTTAATATGCAATTTTAGGCCTCTGGAACCGGGAAGCAGTATATTAGAAAAAATGATTTTGAGATGGGCCTCCCCCTCCTCAGGTTCACAGTGGGAGACCAACCCAACTAAACACTGCAACATTATGACGAAAAAACCTTCTGTAGTACTTACACAGTCGAAAGAAGGGTCAGAGAGTGGCAGGAGAGGAGGAGATGTTTTGTCTCACTAAGTAGCGCTGGTGAGAGAGCACCAGTACCGGTATGCAGCACAGTTCTGATAAAGGGAAACATTAACATAATAGGGAATAGTAGCTTACAAAAGAATGTGCTAGAAAGACTGCTGGGTTACAGAGAGCATCTTCTAATGAAAAAAAAAATTACAAAATTATCCTAATTGGAAGAAATATCAAGGGCAGTGTGTGGTGGTGACTTCTGTGAGTGCGAGGAGGAAATGCCAAGTAATACTTCTTTACTCTTGCAGGGAGAAGACCCACAGGAACTAATGGCTAAAAGTCAAAGCCATGCTAGTTCAAACAAAAAATGAGACAAACATTTTAGAACAAATCATAGAAAAAAATGGGTGCTTATTCATTTTTGCAGGTAGAGATTAACAGTCTTTTGGGAAAACAACATTAATTAAACACCCCTGTTCTGAGGCCAAAATATTGTGATTGGACAGTGTGTAAAGGATGTGGGATATTAATCTGATTCCTGGCATGATCTCTTCTTTCTTCATGCATCTTTTATATAAACACCTCTCTCTTTTTAACTTACAGGCTGTATGTATGAAAAGGGACCTAGGCAGTTTTATGATGACACTTGCGTTGTTCCAGAGAAGTTTGACGGTATGTATGACACATCTCTCTTTTTCTTGTGTAGGGAGATGAAAACGAAAGAGATGAGGGACTTTTCTCTGTTGCTGATCAAAAAAGCCCAGTAACATTCCAATTTAGGATTCCTTAACACACCGTTTGCGGTGTGCCCAACCAAAGCTGACCTTTGTCTCTTGAAACCAAAGTCTCCTCTTCAATAGGATGTCATTCGACTTTTACCAGCAAAAGATGCTGTATCCAGAGTTGTGGCAGAGGAGCTCAGTTCCTGTACTGTTAAAAAAGTAATAGGAGGATTTCCATTTCACTGATGATCACATAGCACTTGTTGAGATTTAATGAAAGCTGTTCTTATAATTTACAAAACAGCAGAGAAAGCAGCAAGTTTGGTTTAATTGAGGATTAAGCCTCTTGTCTAGCTATCACTGAAGGGATGAATAGTGGGGAGTGAGTGTATAGGGCATTTTTGGGTTTATGTCAATGTATTTCCACTAGGTTAAATGCACTAGTGGTTTATTTTTCAGTGGGATTGATAACAAATCAATGCTCTTTTCACAACACTACCGATTACAACAGATTTTTTTTTTTTAAGAGTAATTCTGACATCAATTAAAATGTATTGGTCCAAATTATCTTCAGTTACTCTGACGTAAAATCAGTTTCCTGAAGTAACTCAGTTGATTTCAGATTTATTTCATTATAAGCAAAGTAGATGGACACTGTATTTCTTGCCAGTTAACACTGTTAGTCTGCAGCTTTGGGAAGTAATTTGGAGACAAGCTATTTAAATTTGCTAGAGTGGCTTTTTGTTAGTGTATGTACGTTACTGTAGTGTTGTTAGTATAGCTTTTGTGTTAGTGTATTTATTTCTTTTAATGGTGCTTTATTTATTTTAGCAGGAAACATCAGATACTTCCTGATAAACTTGTGAACAACTCTCTGACCATAGCTAAAAGTAGAGCTGGAGAATTGGCATTTTTCTCCTGCTTTATTTTGTTTGTTTTCCCCTGAGAATCACTTATGGATTACAAAATTATTGCATGTCTAGCAGCATTTGTTGTGTATGCTGAAGACTTGGAGACTCTGAAATGAAAGTAACCCAAATAATTACACATTCTTCAAACAGTATCACATGTATTTTGGGGTTAGTAAGAAATAGATAATTTTAAACAATATCAAACCTAACAGAAAATTGCTTAAGCCAGTATTGCATTGTCACTGCATCAACACATTCACTGAAACGATGATTTATTGGAAGTCTGCTTTATACCCTGGCTTTGTAATATGAGCTTGGTTTTGTTTTGTTTTGTTTTTTTTGGGGGGGGTTGGGGTTTTGGGGGTTTTGTGTGTTTTTATTTTTTGTGGGGGGTTTTTTGTTTGTTTGTTTGTTTGGGTTTTTTTTTTCTTTTTTTTTTAAATCACATCGAGTCAGAGGCTTTTTTTGCCCCCAGAAATGATTGTGGGTCTGATGTGTTTTGAGTACCAGTGGCAAATTCATATTTACATTTATGAAAATGGGGATCAGACCCTGTACTACAAGAAGTTAAAACTCATCAGGAGTAGCATTTATCCATATCTTCCTTGAAAAATCCTTTTGATTTGTTTGGGTTTTGTACAGAGAGGGGAATGAAAATGAAAAAGAAATATAAGTAAAGTAAAAGAAATAAATGTTGGGAAATATTTGTGTGCTTGCAAAGCAAGCAGTCTGCTGCTAGCTTCTATGACTATTCAGTGAGAGAACACCTTGTACTCTCTAGAAGATTGATGTCATGATGCAAATACGTGTGTTTATACTTATAGTGTGATGACTTTTGAGGAAAAAAATAGCAGATGTGTCATCATATTCTGGCCAGTACAGCAAAAGTTGGATGAGCTCAGGACTAGTCTTGATGTTTCAGAAGTAGATTCTCAGCTGCTTTGTTTGAAATCAAAGATCGGCACAGGCAAAGAATCTGATCCTCTGTAATACTGCACTTGCTATTTGTGCATTGCTCAGCTATCATTAAAAGAAAAAAACCTGTCCTTGAAAAAGAAGGCCTTTCAGGACTGGAACCTGAACCTCACATAAACCAAAAAGCCTTGTGTTGATTTATTTGTTTTCCACAGCTATTGACTCAGTTTTCTTTCCTTATCACAAAAGGAAGTGCTCCATTTTTAATATTATTATTCTATCTTTCATTCCATGGAGCCATTCTGTAATGGCCATCAGAGCATCCTAATGTTGTGGTTGAATGTAAATTCCTGGCTTTCCATATTAAATGGGTCACACTGTTTATTGGAGGGTATCACCGTTCTTGTAGTTGAAATGAGGAGTTTTACCAGTATATCAAGGGTTGCAGTCATTGTGTGGAGCAAAAAATAGTCTGCTTCAATATCCAACCTTTCAGCTGTTGTTGTTTGCACGAGTGGTTTAGTATGAATATGATTTAAAAACAACAAAGACAGTAGGGATGTTTTTTTTCATTGGCAGTTTGTGGAACAGCTAGTAGAATGTTATTATTGCTTTTTTAAAAGGTTCCTCTAGACTTAAAATTTTAGAAAAATTAACTTACTGCTTTTTAGGGGAATACTAATTTAATATGTAGATATGAGGAAAAGTCATATGTGCTTATATGCAAGTTCAGTATGCCACAGAGGAACTCACACATCTGCAGGATTTACATGCCTGTACATAAAGCACATGCTGTATAAGTCCAAGTCAAATACTTGGTCACATTTTCCTTTAGAAGCATTTGCATACAAAAGAAGTTTCACTCAGTAGGGTTTTGCAGCTTTATGAAGCCTACCTTACATTATCAAAACTGGGGTCTGTGCAAAGTATAGTACACAAACACAGTTCTTCACATATTAGAGTTGCTTCAAAAGTAGTCTATGCTCTTTCAGGCAGAGGATATTACAAAGTGATTTGCAAGCGAGATTTGCATGTATCAAAAGTACATGGGAAGAGGCTTAGTGAGACTTCCATAAATCATGAATGAATTTATGTGCTTTTGAGTATATTCATGTCATTGTAAGTCACCAGCAAACAGGGGAATGTTGCTGGCTGTTTCTTCCCTCTGTTTTATTAACCCTAATGACAGCTTTGCCAGTTTATCTGACAAAGTGAGTGATTGTGGTGATGCTTTTTGCGCAGTGCTTACCTGATATTGTTGTTCTGTGCAGGTGATGTCAAGCAGGAACCGGGCATGTACCGAGAAGGACCCACATACCAACGGCGAGGCTCGCTTCAGCTGTGGCAGTTCTTGGTAGCTCTTCTTGATGACCCATCAAACTCTCACTTCATAGCATGGACTGGTCGAGGCATGGAATTCAAGCTGATTGAGCCAGAGGAGGTGGGTTAGGCATACAGCATGCCCTCGCATCCACTGCCCCATCCTGCAAATTGAATTGTGCTCCTTTGGGCTTGGGCCTTATTTTTCTTCAGTATTTTGCTTCAGTAACACTTTACAAGGGTGACAGGTGTGGTTAAGCACAGACTTGACTCCTACTCCCACAAAATAATAAAAGTATTGCAAGTACTAGAGTTACCAAATACTTCACATTAATTGTGGGGCCCAGATTTTTCAGAGCCACTTTATGGATAGAGCTGTGTTCCAATATCCTTTGAAAGCTTTTCCCTTAAAAGTCTTTCAACACCAAATATTCTTCAATGTGAAGATGTGAGAACTTGGAGCTTTTAGGTTGTAGAGTGAAGTGCCCCAAGTCTGACAGATGGCAAAGGAGAAGGTTAAGATTTTTAGGCAGTAATATCCCATCAAAATTGCATAAATTTCTCTCTATTTAGGGTTTTCGTCAGAATCTTCCTGCTTATGTGTATCATTAGATTGTTTAGTGCATGCTTAGATTGTAGGCTTGCAAACAGTCATGCACATGCATGGCATTCCTGAACCATGAAGGACTCATGGGATAGATAAAATTACTTGTGTTCATGGACATTTGCTGAAGCATGACTTAGTTCACTTGTGGGATAAAAAGGAATAAATTGAATGTTTTATTACATAAAAAGTTTTGGACTAGGTAACATTACATAACCTATCTTGTATTCTCAACAGTCATGAACACTTGGAAGTTCAGGTGTATGTGAATTTTACTGTAAAATTGATGTGGAGGATTTAATTAGGGTTGTCAAAAAGCAATATCACTCTGCTTTACTTTTTTGCCCCTTGAATAGGGTTTGGTAGTAAAGAAGACCACAGCAAATTTTCTGACAGAATGCTCTCTGAGTGAGAGCTGAGTAGGAATGTTTGGGGGTGTATGGCTGGTTCTGCATTCCACCAGCTATTTCTGCTGTTTGCCACCCATCTGCTGGTATAAGCAATCTGAAAGCTTTCTTGCATTTTAGTTACATTGTCTGCTAACAGCTCTATGGGGATGATGGAGTAGTTGGGGATTCATGTCCCCTGATAGGATTGATGTCCCTTTCCTTCCTGACATGGTCTGGCTGAAGAGCAGGTTGCTGCAACGACCCCTGTTTGTCTGAGCATTCCCCTCACTAGTGATAGGGCAGATCCTGGCGTTGTGCATCTGAGGATTTGACCTTAGAACAACCCGAGTTGATTTGATATTGAAACTTGCAAGTCTGCAGCCTTAGCAGGCTACATGGATTGCCCAGTTGTGTGACCTGTCCCAGAACAGAGTGAAATCTTTGGAAAGGCTTTGGTTTTGGTGAATAACATATCCAATTTTCCCCCCATTCTCAGTCTCTGTATTTTTTACCCTCTTAGTTTTGTCTATGTCCAAATTTTTTCAAGATTTAGGAGTTTTATTGAAAAATGGTTTCCAGCAGATGGTGCAAAAACTTTATAGATTTTATTAGCTAAGGAAAGGAAAGTAGCAAAACAAAGTCCTAAGGTTTCCTTATTGTGTAATTCCCTGAAGAACTGGATATTCTAATTTAAGTTAAACAGGTCATCTGCTTGTCTGGCTATGGAGAAGTTGCTTTGTTTTTGAGCAGCACTGCATCTGAGATCTGGAGGAGGCAGGATACTTAAAATTTGCCCGACTCCTGAGTAGTTTTAGGGATTACAAAGGAGCCTAAATTGTTTTCATTTGAATGTCATGAATCTCTCAATTAAAATAAGAATAGCCTATAGGAAGTTGCACGGTTCTCTTGGTTGCCAAGTGTAAATTGAAGGGAAATAAAGAGCTTGTTGGTTCTGCTGTGGCAGGTTAGGATGTAAATGACATGACCTTTCCATCTCATTCTTTGCTGGAGGTTTGTTCACTTGTAGAAAGGGTGACAACAAAAATGAATATGTATCAGCTCCTGGAGTGCCATAGTTCATTCAGAAAGTAAGTGTGTGTGAACTCTGGAGGCTGAGAATTGGGTGTAGGTCCACTTATGCTGCCTTGTCACAGGGACAGCAACCTTCAGCAGGAAAGTGGGGTAGAAGGGTAGAAGTCTGAATCCCTTCCACAGAGCAAGACTATGTAAATGCTGTGCGGTTCTGAGACAGGAAGAGTTGCTTACCAAGACTCCTTCTGGACCCGCTTACCTGTTTAGGAGTGTCAAAATACCACACAAAAAAAAGGAGCATATTCTTAACCATTACTTTGTTGTAGTTATCTTTACTGTGTATTTATTTATTTTGCAAGCTTGTCATGTTGGGGACATTCAGGACTCTGATTAATGCAGAAAAAAACTTGGAAGAAATAGACAAAGAATGATGCAGGCATGTGTTGCGAAGATGAATAGGTGAATCAAGGTTACGCATCTAGGTCAGATCTGCAGCTGGAATAAATTGACATGATTGGAGGTGTGTTTCAATACAGCTAAAACATAGCTGAAATTAGCAGAGCCAGGATAATTTACATAAGCCTGAAAAGCTGCACCACTGAAAGGAAATAGTACTTTTGAAAGAAATTTTAGAGATTATATGGAGATCGAAATCATGGAATTTGCTGTTGTTTAGTCCCCTTCAGACTGAAATGTTGTTTCAGGGAGTCCTTGTATCTTCTCTTCGGGGCTCCTCTTTTGCAGCAGCCAGCGGCAAGTTCCTCCAGTTGGGAAGTCTGAAGACACAGTGTTTTTAACACTGCTGATGCTTTTGAGAAAGCATGCAGGATCACTCTTGAGGAGAAAAGACAACTCAGAAAGAATTGTGTCTTGCAGAGTATCCCACCTAAGGAGTCTTTCTGCTGTGCCTTTTGCAACTGAATGTGTCTATCTCTTACTGGCCTTTTTAGCCACCAGTGTGCTTGTAACAAATGTGGGTAGAGCCCTCCCCAAATCTTCGTTCGCAAAGCCTAGTCATGATGATGAGTCCCCTTCAATACTCAGTGGTGCCTGTTGCCTATGGCTTGCATCAAAAAGTTCCGGACACCTAAGGGAAAGTTTTGTAGAGCAGTCTGCAGAGAAACTGCTTGGCTGCTCTGTCCTTTTTCCTGAGCTGTATGCATATGCACTTCTCGAACATTTTTATAAAATGTACTGTAGAGAGTTCATCAGCTCTGACTGGTTTTTCCCTCAGGTGACGTGATAGTCATTTTTACAGACAGTAATTGAAATGTCATCAACAGCTGATTATCATTTCAGGTGGGGAATAAGAAGTTAAGCTCTTTAAACAAAGGATGTCTTTGTCCAGAACTATCTGTAGATAAAACAGGAAGCGTAAAGGCAAGTAGGAATCATAAGTCAGAGCAAAAGGCATATAATTCTCTATGGAACGGTTGCCTAAGTTACTTGCAATTCACTTTTTATTGTTATTTTTAAGGGAAATTATACAACTGCAACTATGAAATTTCTGTTCCATTCTTCATACCACCATATAGTTCTTCCAAATGATTACTCTGCCTCCTCAGATAATTCATTTTTTTTGCTGAAGTAATGTTTAAGACTGGGAGTTGGCTTTTGACTTGTATCTCCTAATAATCTCAACATTGCTGTCATTCCAAGTACAATCTGTATTAGTTCTTGAACTAAGTGTTCATGTGCATGAATGTGTGTTTAATATAACTTAGTTTTCTGACAGCAAGGAAAAAACAGGAATAGTACAGTTATCCATAGTATCAAACTAAAGATAAGTTTTCATCTTTTGTGAAAATTTTCTGGTGAAACTTGCTAAATATTTTTTGTCCGTCTTTGGCTTTATTTTTTCATTGGTTTTCTTTATTAAAAAGCAAAATAAAAACCCTCCACCACATTTGCAAATAAGTAAGCCGATTTCAGGTTTAATGGTGATGTGTCTCCAATTGAAAATCATAGTACTACATGGGAAATTCAGGTCATGGCAACCTTTTCTCTTATTTGTTGCACCTGCAGGGTTCTCCCTCCTGCATCCCCAAATAAAGTATCTGATGATAAGATCTGCTTGTTAAATGCATTTAACAAATCAATGCTAATCCATTTTTGTGGCAGGTGGCACGTCGCTGGGGGATTCAGAAAAATAGGCCAGCTATGAACTATGATAAACTCAGCCGATCGCTTCGCTATTATTATGAAAAGGGAATCATGCAAAAGGTGAGTAGCTAATTTTGTATTAAGTTTCACCGGAGTCTTGCATGTTAATCCATAACTTGTTGCATTATGTAGTTTTTTCATCTATTTAGGCAAACACTAAGCTTTTTTTACCTACCAGGTCCAGCATATGCATTAAGATTTTTTTTTTTCCTATGTAAAAAGTGTCTGTGGTTTTAGTTCTCATAATGCGTGTCATGATTTTAGGGAAAGAGGTAACATTCAAAAATATCCAAAAGAGCTTCCTGGCAGCTGGGAAAGGCAAATAGTAGAGTACAGTACGATTAATTATTTGTGGATCTAAATTAGCTACCCAGTGCTTGGGTACTTCAGTAAGATAGGGGAGAAAACTTACACCTATTAACATACAAAATACTTTAATATTTTTACCAGTAGTGTTGTAATAATACTGGTTTTAATTGAAATTTAATATTTTAATAGACCAAATTAGGAAAAATATTTAACAATAATTTTTATATTACAGTCTGGTCTTGCTGACAGTATTCAATCCATTCTTCTACTGTGGCTTGCTGTTTTACATGTATATTTTTAAATCTTGCTATGTAGTACTATGTAGATTGACTTAGAAATCAATAGGAGAGACCTGTCTGCTTTATTTACAAAATTGGCAGGTGTGATCAAAGATCATAATGAACACCTTGTGCTGTAGTACTTATTCCATCTCTTTTCACATTAGTTTTGTGACCTGTGATGATTAACATGTTTAAACCTGCCATTTGCCAATTCCGTGAACGGAAACAATGCTGTCAGCTCAAGTTACTCTGGGCAGCTTTTCCAGTAGGTTTTGTGAAGTCTAACAAGTTCTCTTGCTTAGATTGTGGGATTGTTGTAGTGCACTCCTTTTTCACTATCCAGGAGTCAACTTGGACAACAATCTGGGCTAGTATTGTCTTATGGTTTTTCAGTAGCACAGCACCCTATTCATTTTTGTGTGTCATGTAACTATACATTGAATCTTTGTAAAGTGGACTGGAAACCGGGTCCGGTCGAAGAGAAGCAGAAATGCTTGAGCTTGCTGGCTGGTGCTTCAGACAGAGGAGTTCTTGTTGCAGGTTACAGCTCAGCTGCATAGGCAAGTGTGCTGCCAGTGCAGTTCAAAGGCAGCAGAGAGGCAAGAAAAAGTAGGAGAGGGAAGCAAGCTGAAAAAGTGGGGTTCGAAATACCAGAAGGCTGATAATGCTACCCCAACCCGCACATCCATTTAATATGGAAAGTTTACAAATACTTCTGATAGGTAGCTTGCTACCGCTTAAGCTACTACTTTATTAGCTAGAAGAACATATTTAACACACAAATTGAAAGCTAGCTTGTGTGCTTATTTTTCTGACATGGCAGTGTTTGAGGCTTGTCCTAGGATCGATCTATCTCACCAGTTCATGTATGTTAAAAACTAATGGGGATTGCAGATTCATAGCAGGTTTCTTTAGTGCAAAGTTTGTATACATGCTTTCCCTCCTGTGTTTTAAATTAAGCAATGATAGCAGGTTATGCAAAAGCCTAATTTCTGAATGCAGCCTATAGTTTGTCAAAGTTGATGTAAAAAATTCTACTGCAGATATAGCCTCCATCAAATTCTATTTGTAGAATAAATAAGCTGAAAATTTAAGGAGGTGTTTCAAACTATTTTACACCCATAAGAATAGAGTTGTTAAGTTTGTGACACTTTTTCCATCTTCATTCACTCACTTCAGTGCCATGGTAGCTGAGGTTGCAAGAAGGCAATATGATCTTTATTTTTAAATAATTTTAATAATTGTGAGCATACAACATGGTTCATATTTTTAAGCACAATTTTTAAAATGAGGTGCTTTAGAAGACACTGTATGGACTTCTGTTTGTTGTTTGGGTTTTTTAATAAGACAACAAATAGGTGTTGTTTTTATTATTCTTTAGCTTTTAGGAAATTGAAACACAGACATTTGATTAAGGGAAAACTTTACGATCTTTGGACAAATTGCCCCTCCATAAGCAAATCTAAATGTCCCAGCTTTGCATGAGCAATTGCTAAGTACATATTAGCCTACGTATTTGCTTACGCTGTGCCTGTGCAATCAGCATCCACCATAACTAGAGTGCTTTTGTACGTAAATATGAATCAATCTGTGTAAAGTGAAATCCAGATCTCTGTCATGCAATGTGATTCTTTTTTCCACTTCGCACACAGTGTGTGTAATTTTATTTTACCACTGTAGTGACAATTTGTTTACATTTTCCAATAAGAACAGTTCCATTTGTGGTTAAGTATAGGAAATGATTGCAAACAAATGTTTAGTGTAGAATACCTAGTCCATCTTCCAACAGGATGTTGCATGTGGCAAAATCAAGATCATTCCGCACAGTCTGCTTTGGCGGGTCCCTCTTGTCTTTGCCAGGTCATTGCCTAATGAGTTCTGCTGTCACATTATTAATTGTGTAACAAAGGTGAGTTTTTCACAAGGCTGTTGAACTTGGAGTTGCAAAACACGAGGCCTTACACTGCACCTTTTTTCCCCCCTTCTGTTGTCTTAAGGTGGCTGGAGAAAGATACGTCTACAAGTTTGTTTGTGACCCTGAAGCGCTTTTCTCCATGGCTTTTCCGGACAACCAGCGCCCCTTACTGAAGACTGACATGGAACGCCACATCAATGAGGAGGACACTGTGCCTCTGTCCCACTTTGATGAGAGCATGGTCTACATGCAGGATGGTGGCTGCTGCAACACCCACCCCTACAACGAAGGCTATGTCTATTAACAGCAGTGACAGTGAAGGGGATGTTTTCCCCCTCCCTTAAGCTTCTCCTCTTTCACAAGACCCAGAGGAAAGCTGAATCGACTTCAGTTTGTTTTTTAAATAGTACACTAAAAGGGGCTTTTCCTGTTGCATTACTCCTATGGTCTGCCATGGACAGCGCACTTTATTTGAAAGGGGTGGGTTGGAACCTAAACGTTATTCTGTGTAAAAGGAGGAAAAGGGTGGGTTTGCTTTTTACTTAAGTTTGGGAAGGGAACATACAGGTTTTAAGTACAAAAAAGCTATATCATGTCTGTTTTGTTTCATATCAGCATAAGATATTGTACATTTTCTCTGGGTATCCATAGTACAGTTAATTCTCATTGTGCAAAATAACCACTTTATGATGATATCAGCAAAGCATGCCTAGGGCATTTGTTTCTTGCCATTCTTAATTGTCTTTCTGCAGTAATAAAAGAGAAGCAAAGCATATACTACAGCATTTAATTTCGAAGCTTCCAGTGGCAGATCTTGTACCTTGCCTCTGAGAATAACCAGATATCTGGAAAGTTTTTCCTATTTTTTTCTCTTTTTTTTTTGGGGGGGGAGGGGGGTATGGCCTCAAAATAAAATCCTAGTTAGTGACAGAGGGGCTCTAAGTACAGTCACCAAGCAGCAAAATCCCTTACTTCAGACTGCAAGCTGCATGCTGTATCTGGTGCCACATTGCTATACATATATGACCCATTCTATGGCTCAGATTTTTTAAGATCCATTTCAGGGTAGTAATTACATGTGGTAGGCTTTCTGATGATCATGTCAGCATTAAATACAGGTTCGTGATCAGGAGGGAGAAAACATTTTGTATCCTTCCATTTCCTTTGGTACATAAATAAGTTATTTAATCAATAGGAATTAACTGTACTAAGTCACATATCTAATTATGCTGTTTAGACACAGCAGGCACTCCTTGAGAAAAATATCCAATACACTAAATAGGTACTTTAGTAAATTTTTAGACACGGTACCCATTAATATGCATTTAAACCTTTTACTGCTGTGTTATGTTGATAACATATATAAATACTAGATAATGCTAATGCTTCTGCTGCTGTCTTTTTCTGTAATATTCTCTTTGATGCTGAATTTACTATGACCATTTATAAGCAATGCTGTAACTACAGGTAGCATTTCAGGACAAAATAGATGACTTGAACCATTTATTGCTTAGAAAATAGCTTACGCCATAGCTGTGCTATAAGCAGCTTTTATGCGCATCCACAAATGACTAGTAAGCTTCAGCTTGCTAAGGAAAGCTCTGCAGAACCTTTTGTAATTTTTGGTGGAACGGAGACGAACTGTCAAAGAATACCATGAAGTTGCTGTATGACATTGTAGTGCTGGCACTGGTGTTACCAATCAGCTTGTTTGGACACTAAATGTAAATGTGATCAGATATGCTTGGAAGACAATTTAAATTTTGAGGGGTTTTTTGTTGTTTTGTTATTTTTTTCAAATTGTTTTATTTTTTTGAGAGGGGTAATCTTGAACACAAGCCACACCTGCTATTCTGTATGTAAAACAAACAAAAAAAAGGCCCTGACAGAATCCCAAAAGTTTTAAATATTTATGAGCACCTTTTTTGAAATACAATAATTTGTAGTTTGAAGGAAGGGAGAGGGGGTAAGATCTGGATTTCTTTTTTTTGCCCAGTGAAATTTAAATAGGTGTTACATGAAGTACCTCATTTTCCTATATTGTCAAGAAGTGAGAGAAAAATGAATACATAACCATAAAAAAACAAGAATAATTTTCATCATAATGGATGGATTTCAAAGACAATCCTAGGTGGTGGGTTAATCTTCTATCCTTTGTCAGTTAAGACACTACCTAAGTTATGAATATTTTAATATGCAGTTAATCAAAAGTAAAGAAGCAGTGGTCACTAGAAACCACAGGTGCATAAAAAAACATTTGGGCGGGTATTTAATTTACTCAGATCTGTAAGACAACATAGTTTATGAGAATGTATATATGCCTTAATATGTCACCTAATTCTGTCATCCGTAAGTCTCAATGGCACTTAAATACTTGGTGATCAACCCAGAAAAAGAAGTCTAAAATTGCAGAACTAGCAAAAATCAAGGGGAAAAGGTTGGATAATATTGTTTAAAAAAATTGTGGTTTCCATTGAAATAAGGTTCAAATGAAACATGCTTTGATGAAAAGTCCTTGGATTGGTTTTGCTTCTTTAATGTCAGCATGGAGCGCCTCTTGCCTGTGGCAGGATGGGGGTATTTGGGAAAGGGGTTGGACAAAAAAAGGAAAAAAAAAGATTTAAAAAATGCATCAAATGTGTAATATTTAAGAAGAAATATATATATTTATCTGTATATGGTAGTGACTCACTGAACAAAACAAGCAGTCAGACCAACATTGCATAATTTCTGAGCAGAAGATAAAAAAGTCTTTCACTGAACTGATTAACCCTTTTAAAATGTACCTAAGAGGTTTATTTAAAGTCTATTTTTATTCCACTTTTTTGTTTGTTTGGGGTTGGGTTTGGGGTTTTTTTTGTTTGTTTTGTTTGTTTGGGGTTTTCAGGTAGAATAATAAATCTGGCAGCTGATTTCTGCAAGATTGTTGTGTATTGGATTCCTAAACATTTGGACTGGAGAGGCCCCTGCAGTAAGGTTATTCTTTTGGAAGGGGAGAGGAGGGTCTGTTCCCAGTGCCTAGAATAGCTTCCTGCAAAGTGTAACCCAAAAAAACACATACAAAAAAGCACTCTTTTTCAAGCTGTACCACAAGTGGAAGGAAAATGAAGGTTTTACCTCTTTAGTAGGAGCTGTATCTGCTTGTGTATATTCTTGCTGGCCAGAGCAACTGGGCAGCCTGGAGTAATGCTACTGTGAAGCAAAGTCGAGAGGCATCACTGCAAGACCCACGTGCTGTGATACAGCCAAAGGGGCTCAGGTTTCATCTGCCATGACAGGTCATTTGCATCGGTAGCTGAACAGAGATGAAATTAGATAAGGGCTTGGCAGATCCCCTCAGAATCCATTTGAGAGAGTTAAGATTACAGATTTAGGACAATGTACAAATTTTGCTTCAGGGATATGACTTCCATGACAAAAAACTAAGCCTTTTCTCTCCAAGGTTACACCATCTAACTTTCTCACACACCAGCTACAGTATAAACCTTTATATTACATTCACTGAAAGTGCAAATTTCGTATCCATGTCAGCCCAGATCTGCTTACTTTACTTACAGTGGGCTGCTGTAAGGGAGAAACTAGGAGAAACTGGGATACAAGAACATAAACGATTCTTTTCTCCAGAAGTTCCCTGCAAAGAGCTCTTTGCTCAGAATCTTTTTGTCTTCAGGGTTTTCTGCTACCTGGGACTATTCCCGAGGGATCAGTGCCTAGAGTTTTATTGCCCTTGACAGCTGACTGGTTTGGGCTTCAAATCCATCTTCACAGGACAGTATCATCTAGTAAATATTTTTGCTTTCTTTGTGGTTTTTTTGTTTGGTTGGTTTTTAATAGCAGGAAATAGATCAATGTGTACAAAATGTATTATGAGGAAATCTTTGAATTGTTAATGGCTGCACTTTCTCCTCTGAAGAGCATTAGCTTCAGTTCATGTATTGTAGGTAATAGCACCCATAAACAGCCCTATTCAGTGCTCACATTAATAGTACTGAGGACTTTCCTAAATAGTCTCCTTCAAAGATGTTTTGGGAGTATTAATTAATATAGTATCTTATACTCTAAGAATTGTCACTCTGAAATACCTCACTTGGATCTAGCAGTAAGAGCATAGGAAATTAATTTCTCAGTCTTCTTCGGTTGTTATTTTAGGGGTTTTCTGTTGCGTGGGGGTTTGGGTTTTTTTTGGTTGTTTTTGCTTTTTTGGTTTTTTTTTTTTTTTGGTTGGTTGGGTTTGTTGTTTGTTATTGCTGCTGTGGTTGTTTTGGTTTGGTTTTAAATCAGAGGCTACTCTGCATGGAAGGGAGGTAGCAGCTGGGAACAGGCACCTGTGTCTGAGGACCTCTGGTTCAAAGTCCGCTGCATTTTGCTAAGATACCAGGCTGAGAACTGGAGCATCTACAGTACAGAACTGAGCCCTGCTCTCCTTGTACTCTTACAGAACAGGGAACTACAGTGCATTGTCTTTTGTTAATTCTGCTACAAGAGCAGTAATCTCTGGCAGAACAGCAGGATGGAAATCTAGGGGCAGTAGCATTAAAAAACTACAAGATTACCCAGATCTGTCTGTCTGATGCCTAAGATTCAGAAACACATCAGCAAAGTGCTGTCCCTTGCCACCCAGCTTTCATGATTGTATAGGTAGGTAAAGTTAATTTCATCTTTTGCTTCAGGAGGTTGAAATATTGGTTTCCCCATTGAACACCAATTTAATTTCTATGGGAAAGAAATATCTGTGCCATCTTCTTATGTAATAGTCTGTAAATGTCTATGAAGTGTATTGTTGGCATTTTCCCCAAGAACTGTTTTTGTGTGGACATGACACAAAAAACATCACGAAAAGAAAGGGTAAATAAACTTAAAGAGGTTATCCATACATCAAGTTCTCCAAAACTATAGCATTATTTACCCTAGAAATATATCATGTCTTTAATACTTCTGTATTATCCTTATTACATAGTTTCATTGGACTGACCTCAAAAGTACTCAATATACCCTGAAGTTTTGGGGTTTTTTAAGTGAGCTTCCTGCTGTTAATAGAGGTTACAGGAAGGGACCACTGAGGAAGAGTCACAATCAAACATTTGGATCTGGTAAGCCATAATTCTGTCATGGCTCTTGCAAAGCTCTATGGGCACTTATGCCCATGTCTGTGCTTTCTAGTTGCATGGTAGAGAGGTAATTGTTTGTTTGTTCGGGTTTTTTTAGTAGTTTCTGAGTAACTACAATTTGCTTTGCTTCAGAAGGAATGTCTATGTGTATTTCTTTTCATACTCCAGGTAACCAGATAGATACTTGGTGTCCAAAATAGCATTTCTGCTGTGTAATTCACAGTAGAGGCTGTAGTAGTTCCTCGCTGTTGCCCTAAAAAGGAAAGAGTTGAGGAGATTTCACAGTTTTCCTCCCCCCCTTTCAGTGATAGGACCCAGCTGATCTATCTCAATATAGTTTAAGCCTATTCTTCGCTCACCTATGATATTTTAGTGGACAGTCTGATTGTTAGTACAGTGGCACTTCACAGAAGGTGAGGTGTAGAGTGTTGAGTGTTTTAGATGCACTGCAAAGGGCTCTCTATGGTGGCTTTCAGTCAAAACCTTGCATGGTCAGTACCATATTGTTACACGACCTAAATAAAGGCAGAAGATGTTTTTGCAGAGGCATCAGCTCCTCAGAGCTTGAGATGTTTGCTGAAATATGCAGTTAAGGCTGCTGCCTGGCCAGCTAGGGTGAGTCTGCCTTGGAAGATCTGTCGATGAGCTCTGTGTACATGTAGAAAGCCAGAGAGAGCAAGATCCCGGCATGGCTGAGTGAGGCAGCACAGAAATGGGATAAAGTCTGTCAGGGGCAATCTGGCTCTACCAACTAGCTAATCCAGAGCTGATTAGTACAGGAAGAAGGAGGTTATATGACTGATACAGTAAATCACAGAGATAATTATTTGAAAGACATGCTGCAGGAGAATCATAAGAAATGATGGAAAGCAATAAACTCTGTAAACAGCAGTGATTTTTTAAGACCCCAGTGCTTGTGGGAGTGCTTCAGGAAAAGGAAGAGAGAAAGTAAAACACCGAAAGGGATGATAATATTAGATGAGAACAACAGGACTAAAACCATGAACTGCATTAGGGGACTTGGAAGATTGCAGTGTTTTAGATAAAAGGAAGGGACTAAGATAAGTACAGAGGCAGTAAACTGAGATAAGAGCAAGAGAGAGAAGGTAATTGGAGGCAGTGCACTTTGTGGTCAGTGGGCCAAATGTGTTAGGCTAACAGAGTTGCACAAGGGATGTGTTTGGCCCTGGTAGTATATCCCCAAGGACAGGAATATCAGTTCTGACTTTGGCATGATTGTTGATAATTTAGTAAAACCATCTGCACAGTGTTTGGTAGCTGTTAAAAGAGCAAACAATATATTGGAATATGCAGAGAGAGTTTTGGGCTGTAAATGTGGTGTCTCTATCATCCCACTATACTAAAAAAAAAAAACCAAGAAAAACCACAAACAAAAGAAAAAATACCTTACAGGATAATGGAGCAGATTGTTAGTATAGCTCAACTTGGTTTCCATGAAATCAGCTATGTAGCTTTACACTAAAATAGACTATGGCTTGTATTTGGTAATGTGTATGCCTATCTAGCATAGTATACACACAGGACATTTTTACATGTTGCGTTATTCAGAAAGATATACAAATGATCAAGATCTGGGGCATAGCATGAGACCAATAAAAAAAAAGACATTAAACAAATATATATGTCTTCTGAATTCTACTGATGTAGACAACTCATTTCATTTTTATATAAAGCTCTCCACTGGAGCTCTATACACACCTCTAATCCTTGCAATTAACTTTTTTAACCCATGCTGGCAGTCTCTGTGTGCTGGAGTCCCTGCTACAAGTGGCTCAGCACTAGTCTCTAAGAGGTGTCTGGAACCTGTAGGGTCAGGCTGCCTGCCCAGCTGGTCACAAAGATCATGTGAAAATTTGCAAGTCTTAAGGAGTGTACTAAGCCATTCTCTAATAGCAAATTCTCTATAATAGCAAAAATCAGTTATACTGCAGATTTAGCCACAAAGGCTAGACTTGCAAAGGAATTTCAGCCACTGTTGTGTTCCATCTTACAAGGTTATGTGATCCCAGCTGTAAATATTTAGGGTATCTAAGGGCCTCCACAAAATCTTTCAAAAGCCACTCAGCTGAATGAGAGCTTCTCTGCTTCCTGCAGGAATCAAATGCGGGAGAGACAAAATTGGTGAAGACCTAGATTTGCATCTACAGAGAAATAGAATGAAGAACACATCTGTACTACTATTTTAGAGTTTCAGCATTACATTGCAGGAGGGAGTTCATAGGAGTTGAGGCAGCCAAACATTTTCTTGAAGCCTGGAATAGATGCCTACACCCCGGAAAGGACTTAGTTTTATGTTAGTTTTATGCGATTGTGTACATGTGCCTGCTTGGCTTTCAAGTTTTCATGAATTTGGTTTTTGGTGTTTAACTCTTCCTAATACTTAAG